GCTTTATAATGACAAAAAGGTTCAATCCACCCTGTAAAGTTATAATTATATTGTGCACCTAAAAACAGAGCACCAAAATACATGGTGCAAAAAATGGCAAAATAGGCCTGGGCACGGTGGCTCACGTCTGTAATCCCAGCACTCTGGGGGCAAGGCCGGCAGATCATGACATCAAGACATCCAGACCATCCTGGCAATGTGGGGTAAAACCCCGTCTCTACTAAAAATTAACAAAATTCTAGGCTGGCATGGTGGTGCCAGACCTGTGTCTCAGCTACTCAGGAGCTTGAGGCAGAGAGAATCACTTGAACCTGGGATGCGTAGGTTTCAGTGAGCCAAGATCGCACCACTGCACTTCAGCCTGGCGAGAGGTGAGACGTGTCTCCAAAAAAAAAAATAGGTTAAACATAACAGTTGGAACAGATACCCCCACTCTTTTTTTTTTTTAAGTTGAACACAGCATCATCTATTAACCCCCACTTTTTAATGATAGGAGACGTGTCTAGGGTGGGAATTACACGGGAAAAATAATAGAACACTGATACCGTCATTTACCATCAGATAGATATCCTGCATGGAAACACTCCGAACCCCAATAGCGAAACATGCATTCTTTTTCAATGCAAGGCAAGGAACCGTGCTGTAAAAGAGATGCGCTTTCTAAGGCCATGAGAGAAACCTCAACATTTTTTTTTTTTTGGAATGGAGGTCCTTGCCTCTGTTGGCCCAGAGCTGGAGTGCCGAGTGGTGCGGATCTCGGAGCTCACTGAAGCTCCGCCTCTCGCCTGCAAGGGCTCCGCGCCTCCTGGGTTTCACATTCATTCTCTGCTCAGCTCCCAAGTAGCTGGGACTACAGGCCAACCCGCCACCGACGCCTGGCTAATTTTTTTGGTATTTTCCAGTAGAAGACAGGTTTCACCGTGTTAAGCCAGTATTGGTCTCTCAATCTCCTGGACCGTTGTGATCCGTCCGCCCATCAGCCCTCCCAAGTCGGATTACCAGGTTGTGAGCCAACCGCAACCCGGCCAACAAATCATGTATTTTGGTGCTCTGTTTTTAGGTGCACATATAATTATAACTTTACAGGGTGGATTGAACCTTTTGTCATTATACAATTTCCTTCTTTACTAACACTTTTTATTTTAATGTTATGTCTGATATTAATACAGCTATTTGCACAATATCTTTTGCTATCTTTTTTTTTTTTTTGAGACGGAGTCTTTGCTCTGACACCCAGGCTGGAGTGCACTGGCGCAATCTTGGCTCACTGCAACCTCCACCTCCTGGGTTCAAGAGATTCTCCTGCCTCAGCCTCCAGAGTAGCTGCGATTACATGCATAAGCCACCACACCTAGCTAGTTTTTGTATTTTTAGTAGAGACAGAGTTTCACTATGTTGGCTAGACTGGTTTCAAACCCTTGACCTCCAGTGATCTGCCCACCTTGGCCTCCCAAACTGCTGGGATTATAGGCGTGAGCCACCGCACCCAGCCCCATCCTTTACTTGCAATCTGTTTGTATCTTTGGATCAAAAGTGTGTATCTTTTTTTTTTTTTTTTTCGAGATGGAGTCTTGCTCTGTTTGCCCAGGCTGGAAGCAATGGTGCGATCTCAGCTCACTGCAACCTCCACCTCCTGGGTTCAAGAGATTCTCCTGCCTCAGCCTCCCGAGTAGCTGGGATTACAGGCATGCGCCATCACACCCGGCTAATTTTGTATTTTTAGTAGAGACAGAGTTTCACTATGTTGGCTAGACTGGTTTCAAACCCTTGACCTCCAGTGATTCCCAAAGTGCTGGGATTACAGGCATGAGCCACCGCGGCCGGCTAGTGTGTATCTTATACAGTGCATATAGTTGGACTATGTTTGTTATCCATTCTGACAACCTCTGCCATTTAATTGGGTTCTGTAATTCATTCCCATTTAGTGTTATTACTGAGTTAGACATACTTATGTTTGCCATCTTACTTTTTGTTTTCTGTGGGTTTTATGCCTTTCTTGTTGCTATACTCCTTTACTACTTTGTTTTTTTGTTTGTTTTGTTTTGTTTTTTGGAGATGGAGTTTCACTCTGTTGCCCAGGCTGGAGAGCAATGGTGCGATCTCAGCTCACTGCAACCTCCACCTCCTGGGTTCAAGTGATTCTCCTGCTTCAGCCTCCCGAGTAGCTGAGATTACAGGTCCTCGCCACCACACCTGGCTAATTTTGTATTTTTAGCAGAGATGGGGTTTCTCCATGTTGGTCAGGCTGGTCTCAAACTCCGTACCTCAGGTGATCCACTCACCTCAGCCTCCCAAAGTGCTGGGATTACAGGAGTAAGTCACCATGCCCGACCACTACTTTCATTTTCATTAAGTGTTTTCTAATGAAATATTTCAATTGTTTAACTTTTTACTATTTGTTAGTTTCTTTAGGGGTTACTGTATTATAAATATGAGGCTTATCAGATGAGCTGCAGGTTTATATTAATCGCTTGATTCCAGTGAGATACAGAAATGCTGCACCTGTGTAGCTCTATTCCTTCCTGCCCCCCAACTTTTATGGCATTATTAATACATACTACATCCATGAATATTATACGCCAAAACAGTGCATTTTAATTAGCACTTTACCATCGATAGTCATGTCCCTTGCCGCCTTTGCTCTCTCTCACTCACCTCCTTTGTGCTGTTATTGGCAAATAGGTAAGTATTCTTATGTGTTATACAGTAACAGTACTTTACAAACATTTATACAGTTGCCTTTAAAATAATTTAAGAAAATAAGTGGGAAAAAACTGATACAGGGTGGCCCAGGGCTCCACTGCAGACAAAACTAGGAATTCTTACCTCACATTGTTAGAAGCTCTCTGGCTGGCCTCAGGCCCGTCTATACAAAGATCCTCTTACCAGGCAGTGGATTCCAAGGACTTACAGTTTTCTCCAGTAGCTGATCAAAGGCTGGTCCGAAAGACCTATGAAATGTGCATCGTTTGGACAACTGAGGCCTGCTGCGTTATGCAGCGTTTCAAATGGAAAAGTTACTTCATTTGCATAGCATCATCTCTCTAGACCCTGCTGGTAGAGGAAGATAAGAACAGTCACGGTAAAAAGGTAGAGATAAGTTCAGACTCATAGTGGTGCTATTAAGTTTATTAGGAAGTGGTTGTGAGTAAGTGAAAGATCTAACATTCACGTCATAGAGGAGGTGTTGGGACACCACAGAATCTCGTTTGAATTTGTGAATTGAGTCCAGTTCCCAGTACTTTCGGTGTCACCAATCCTCCTGCACACCTATGTGGTTTTTCTTAGGACTCAGTGGTCTTTGAGGATGTGGCTGTGGACTTCACCCTGGAGGAGTGGGCTTTGCTGGATTCTGCTCAGAGGGACCTGTACAGAGATGTGATGCTGGAGACCTTCCGGAACCTGGCCTCAGTAGGTAAGGACGACATCATTCCTTCACTTGGTTTTTAATGAACTCATTTCTTTCTCATCAGTTCTGTTTCAAGATTTGAAATGTGGGAAAGGACTAAGGTACACATATTCACAGCCACCATGGACCTAGAATCTAATCATTATTCTCTAACAGTGAAAACGTGTGTGAAACAGATGTTATTTCTGTCTTGGTTTAAAGGACTTGAAGTTCCTTTCGTGAAATTAGTATGGGTATAGATTTCATTGGTCATTTAGGATCACAGAGTGGTTCCTTGTTTGATACCTGTGACTTACTGTGTTTGTGAAATACCTAACATTTTGACCCCTGATGTCTGTTACTGATGAAGTCCTCAAAATGCTAAACTCCTCAGTGTCTTCCTTTGCTTAATACGTGTCTCATTCCTTATGAGATTTGTTCACTTTTTTGTTTCAGATAAGACTCAATTTAAAGCCAATGGGTCAGTTTCTCAGCAGGATACGTACAGGGAAGAAAAATCTAAGGAACAGACAATACCAAACTTCACAAGAAATAATTCCTGTGCCTACACTTTAGAAAAAACTTGTGAAGGCTATGGCACTGCAGATCACCACAAGAATCTGAGGTGAGATGCACTCACAAGAGAAATAAGTCATCTAGGAGAAAATCTTTGTATGCAATTAAATATATATATAAGTATTGCTCCAAATATAAGCATTGCTCCAAATTTTAACCAAAAAAAAATTTGTATTTGATTTAGACATTGAGAATTTGAAACATAATTGCTAGAGATAATGACAGGGGGCCAGGCATGGTGGCTCACGCCTGTAATCCGAGCACTTTGGGAGGCCGAGGCAGGCAGATCGTGAGGTCAGGAGATCAAGACCATCCTGGCTAACACGGTGAAACCCCGTCTCTACTAAAAATACCAAAAAAATTAGCTGGGCGTGGTGGCGGGCGCCTGTAGTCCCAGCTGCTCGGGAGGCTGAGGCAGGAGAATGGCCTGAACCTGGGAGGCGGAGCTTTCAGTGAGCTGAGATTGCACCACTGCACTCCAGCCTAGGCAACAGAGCGAGACTCCGTCTCAAAAAAAAAAACAACAACAAAAGACATTACAGGAAAACCCCATATATAATAAATACTGCATTAATAAATATGTCTCTTCAAACAATTCAGAATAGAAAAATTTCATGTACACTGAAATGTAGTTAGAAATGTATTTCTAATACTTGTTAATACATATCAACAAATCATTGCCAAACATACCATAAATAAAAATGTTTCTCATTTTTAACAGAAATCGTATGGTGGACAGATTCTGTAACAATAATGAAGGTAATCAATATGGAGAAGCCATCCATCAAATGCCAAATCTTACCTTGTTCAAGGAAATTTCTGCTGGAGAAAAACCGTATGAATGCACCAAGTGTGGGACAGTCTTCACGCATGTTTCTTCTCTTAAAAGGCACGTCACATCTGTGTGTGGACGAAAAGCGCCTCCGTGTGAGGAATATAAGCAGGTCTGCATTTGTCCCTCACACCTACACAGTCATGGAAGAACCAACACTGAGGAGAAGCCCTATAAGTGTCAAGCATGTGGGCAAACTTTCCAACATCCCCGTTCCCTCGCTCAGCACGTGAAGACTCACACAGCAGAGAAAACCTATAAGTGCGAGCAGTGTCGGATGGCATTTAATGGGTTCGCAAGTTTCACTAGACATGTGAGAACTCACACAAAAGACAGGCCATATAAATGTCAGGAGTGTGGGAGAGCCTTCATTTATCCCTCGACATTTGAAAGACACATGACAACACACACTGGAGAGAAGCCCTATAAATGTCAACACTGTGGGAAAGGCTTCAGTTACCCCCAGGCTTTTCAAAGACATGAGAAGACGCACATGGGACAGAAGCCCTATGAATGCAAGCAGTGTGGGAAAACATTCAGTTGGTCTGAAACCTTGCGAGTACACACGAGGATCCACACTGGGGAGAAACTCTATAAATGTGAACACTGTGGGAAGGCTTTTACCTCTTCCAGATCATTCCAAGGTCATTTGAGGACGCACACGGGAGAGAAACCTTATGAGTGTAAACAATGTGGAAAAGCCTTCACTTGGTCCTCAACGTTTAGAGAACATGCGAGAATTCACACACAAGAGCAGCTCTATAAATGTGAACACTGTGGGAAGGCTTTTACCTCTTCCAGATCATTCCAAGGTCATTTGAGGACGCACACTGGAGAGAAGCCTTATGAGTGTAAACAATGTGGGAAAACCTTCACTTGGTCCTCAACGTTTAGAGAACATGTGAGAATTCACACACAAGAGCAGCTCTATAAATGTGAACACTGTGGGAAGGCCTTTACTTCTTCCAGAGCATTCCAGGGTCATTTGAGGATGCACACTGGAGAGAAGCCTTATGAGTGTAAACAATGTGGGAAAACCTTCACTTGGTCCTCAACCTTACATAATCACGTGAGGATGCACACTGGAGAGAAACCTCACAAATGTAAACAATGTGGGATGTCCTTCAAGTGGCCCTCCTCCTTCCGAAACCATCTGAGGATGCACGCAGGACAGAAATCCCACGAATGTCAATCACACTCAAAAGCCTTCAGTTGTCAAGTCATTCTTTCTAAAACCAGTGAGAGTACACACTGAAAAGAAATTCTATAACTAAGTAACATGGGGTAACCTCACATTAATTCATGTCTAATTCGCCACAAACTTCACACCAGGAGAGAAATATTACAAGTATGATATTGTCCTTGTCAATACCTCATTTGTCAAACAGAGCCATTAGAGAAAATAATTCTCTAAGTCCTCTTTCAGCTATAATACCTGTGTTTTATCTCTTAGAGTCCAGCTCTGTCACCCAGGCTGGAGTGCAGGGGCATGATCTCAGCTCACTGTAACCTCTGCCTCCTAGGTTCATGCCATTCTCCTGCCTCAGCCTCTGGAGTAGCTGGGACTATAGGCGCCCGCCACCACGCCCGGCTAATTTTTTGTATTTTTAGTAGAGATGGGGTTTCACCATGTTAGCCAGGATGGTCTCGATCTCCTGACCTCGTGATCTGCCCATCTCGGCCTCCCAAAGTGCTGGGATTACAGGCGTGAGCCACCGCACCCAGCCCAGGTCTTACCTTATTTTTATACTGAAGGCGTGAGCCACCGCACCCGGCCTCTTAAATATTTTCATTTTGAACTGTATTAGACCCATGTGTGAGTGTACTTTGAACATGACAGAATTTTTATAGTTTCTATATTTTTCTGTATGGCATCATTACAACAATGAAACTTTGGTATTTTTTATTCTTACTGGCCTACTGCTACAGATAGTGGATATCACTTACCTATTTTAAATATTGTACCTTACCAAAATTGTTTTGCAAAACCTTGTAAATATGCAAAGTTCTCTATCAAGTATAGTCTCTAATCATCTTTTGCAATTTGTTTTTCCTCATTTCTCACTGGGAGTTAGACAGTAGCCTTTGAATTAGGAATGGGGACCTATACAACAAGAATCAATCTACAGATGGTTTTGTTATGGATATATGTGTAAGGCTGGGAAAGACATTTCCCTGAATGTCTTTCCTTTATGGCACCAAGTTAAAATCTGCTCATTTTCTACTTTGCATGAGGTTTGGCAGTTAGGACTTGAGAAGTCATTACCCGCTTTGTAGAGCCAGCATACTCAGCGGCATCAAGGTAGCACACAGGTGCACCACACACACGGCCTTCTGGATCACTGTATTGATTCCTGCCCCTGTTAATGAAGAGTATCCCTACAACAGACACCAGCTGCTTAACTTTCAGCCAGACGTCTCCATAAGCTCCCCCAACATGAATACATTTAGTTCGGATTCCTACAACACCTGCCATGTCCACCAGGCCACTGATCCTGACTGTCGTGGTGATCATCTCTGAAGCTCTGACTCCCTCCTTTAGGTCTTACCTTATTTTATTTTTATTTCATTTATTTATTTATTTATTTTGAGACAGAGGGTCTCGCTCTGTTGCCCAGGCTGGAGTGCAGTGACGTGATCTCGGCTCACAACCTCTGCCCCCTGGGTTCAAGCGATTCTCCTGCCTAGCCTCCCGAGTAGCTGGGATTACAGGCAAGCACCACCATGCCCGGCTAACTTTTGTATTTTTAGTAGAGACGGGGTTTCACTATGTTGGCCAGGCTGGTCTCGAACTCCTGACCTTGGGATCCGCCTGCCTCGGCCTCCCAAAGTGCTGGGATTACAGGCGTGAGCCACCGCACCCAGCCCAGGTCTTACCTTATTTTTATACTGAACATTTTGTTCTTTTGTTCTCTTAGTACTGCTTATGGTTCTGTGTGCAGACACAACATGACAGCCAAAAATCACACACACAAACCAAAAATCACACACACAAACGTCTGATCGTGTACAGCATCGCTGAATGACTACTTAGTCCATCCATGTAAGAATAATCACCTCTCTCATATCAGGCAGACTGAGTTTCCTATTACTCAGAGCTAAGTGCAACCCTTCAGTATGTGTTCAATACTATGTTTAATTATATGCTATTAAGAACAAGACACTTTTTGTCAAATTCCTCTGTAGTTGTTTCTTAGATTCTATGAACCATGTTCAGATAAACTGTATACTAACAAACATTTTTACTCTGAAGATATAAATATTCCATTCCAATTATGGAATATGAAATCCACTTTGTAATTTTGTCAATTTAGGCACTATTTATTAGTATTACCGGATGTGTACAGCTCATGCACTCTTCTTAAAGATCAATTTTTTATATACTTAAAACTTTTGACATTAACATAACTTCTTTTTTTTTTGAGATGGAGTCTCGCTCTGTCACCCAGGCTGGAGTGCAGTGGCGCCATTTCGGCTCACTGCAAGCTCCGCCTCCTGGGTTCATGCCATTCTTCTGCCTCAGCCTCCTGAGTAGCTGGGACTACAGGTGCCTGCCACCACACCCTTCTAATTTTTTGTATTTTTAGTAGAGACGGGGTTTCACCGTGTTAGCCAGGATGGTCTCGATCTCCTGACCTCGTGATCCGCCCGCCTCGGCCTCCCAAAGTGCTGGGATTACAGGCATGAGCCACCACGACCGGCACTCCTACCTAACAATCTTAACCGAAGAACTACTCAGGGGTATTTAAATGGTGGGGAGCAATAGATACACAGTTGTGCATTTTTGGAGTTGACAGTAATTACTGGGGGAAACCCCACCCCTGATATTTAATGTGGGTTCTTTTCTATTTCCCTAAGTGTCTCAGCTGGTTTGAGAAATAAAGGGAAAGAGTACGAGGGAGAAATTTTAAAGCTGAGTGTCCGGGAGAGACATCACACGTCAGCAGGTTCCGTGATGTTCCCCGAGCCGTAAAACCAGCAAGTTTTTATTAGTGATTTTCAAAAGGGGAGGGAGTGTACGAATAGGGTGTGGATCACAGAGATCACATATTTCACAAGGTAATAAAATATCACAAAGCAAGTGGAGGCAGGGCGAGATCACAGGACCACAGGCTGGGGCGAAATTAAAATTGCTAATGAAGTTTTGGGCACGCATTGTCATTGATAACATCTTATCAGGAGACAGGGTTTGAGAGCAGACAACCTGTCTGACCAAAATTTATTAGGTGGGAATTTCCTCGTCCTAATAAGCCTGGGAGTGCCACAGGAGACCGGGGCTTATTTCATCCCTTCGGCTTCGACCATAAAAGACAGATGCCTCCAAGGGGGCCGTTCATAGACCTACCATCAGGGCGCATTCTCTTTCTCAGGGATGTTCCTTGCTGAGAAAAAGAATTCAGCGATATTTCTCCTATGTGCTTTTGAAAGCAGAGAAATATGGCTCTGTTCCATCTGGCTCACCGGCAGTCAAGAGTTTAAAGTCTTATCTCCCTTGTTCCCTGAACATTGCTGTTATCCTATTCTTTATTCAAGGTGCCCAGATTTCATATTGTTCAAACACACTTGCTCTACAAACAATTTGTGTAGTTAACGTAATCATCACGGGGTCCTGAGGCGACATACATCCTCCTCAGCTTACGAAGATGATGGGATTAAGAGATTAAAGACAGACATAGGAAATCACAAGGGTATTGATTGGGGAAGTGGTAAGTGTCCATGAAATCTTCACACTTTGTGTTCAGAGACTGCAGTAAAGACAGGCATAAGAAATTATAAAAGTATTAATTTGGGGAACTAATAAATGTCCATGAAATCTTCACAATTTATCTTCTGCCATGGCTTCAGCTGGTCCCTCCGTTCGGGGTCCCTGACTTCCCGCAACAGGTAATGACTCCCCGTAACAATCAACACAGGGGTATGCTTCGGCTTCATTTTTACAATGGTTGAAACTGTTAGGCCATGTGATATGTGGTCATGAAATTGAACGCGTGCATTCTGATCAGAGGGTTCCCATTTGATGTGGACCACAGAGCATCTTACCTACCTACACAAGTTGTAAGCTGCGTGTTAGCGTAGCTCCTGCTGTAGCAGATCCCTCTCCAGGCTCTCCTGCATTCCAACCTGGATGTTCCCTGGCAGCTATGATGTTAAAGCGACAAATGCTGAATTTAATACTAGGGGCACATTTGCAATTATTTTAAAAGGGGGGAGGGGGTTTTCATAAAAGCCTTTGTATGGCCAGGCCCAGTGGCTGACGCCTGTAAATCCCAGCACTTTGGGAGGCCAAGGCAGGCAGATCACCTGAGGTCAGGAGTTCAAGATCAGCCTGGCCAACATGGTGAAACCCCGTCTTTACTTAAAAAATACAAAAATTAGTCGGGCGCGGTGGCTCACGCCTGTAATCCCAACACTTTGGGAAGCCGAGGTGGGCATATCACCAGCAGGGACTCGAGACCATCCGGCTCACACGTGAGAATCCCGTCTCTACTAAAATACAAAAAATTAAGCGGGCGTGGTGGCGGGCGCCTGTTGTCCCAGGCACTCCGGCGTGGAGGACGCAGGAGAAATGGCGTGAACCCCAGGAAGGCAGAGCTTGCAGTGGAGCCGAGATCCATGCCAACTGCACCTCCAAGCCTGGGCAACAAAAGCGAGACTCCGATCTCAAAAAAAAAAAAAAACGACACAACCAACAAAGCCTTGGTAATACGTGGCTCGCATCCTGGAAATTAAATGACACAAAACATTAGAGTTGCCCGAGGCATAACCCGGCCATGTGGGACCTCTCCAGCCATTCCTGACACTGGGCCCTCTCTTGACCCCTCCACCTGGGATGTCCCTCACTGCTGAAAGCTGCGTGCTGGCTTTCCTGCGGAGTCACCGCCTGTCTTTTGTAAACCGTCGGGATCGGACATTGAACCCTGGCCCTTCCATCACCTCTCCTGGACCACACAACTAGTACAACGGCGCCAGTATCCCTCAGAAACAGACTCGATCCGTTCGAGCTGCCTCACTGAAGAAATGATCAGGCGCGCACCAAAAAGTGAAGTTATTGTAACAAGCCGTCCTCTGAAATTTTCTTCGAAAATTCAGATTTGATCCACAACCAATTTGAAACCTTTGTGTCCTTCCTGAGTAACCATTGTCTTAAAACGCTTTTCCTGGGACCCGGCGGCGCGTGGGCTCAAGCCTGCTAATTCCCAGCAATTTGGGAGGCTGAGACGGGCGGATCAACGAGGTCAGGAGATTGAGACCATCCTGGCTAACAGGGTGAAACCTGTCCTACTAAAAATCAAAAAACTAGCCGGCGAGGTGGCGGGCGCCTTGAGTCCCAGCTACTCCGAGCCTGAGCAGGAAATGGCGGAACCCGGAGGCGGAACTTGCAGTGAGCCGAGATCCGGCCACTGCACTCCAGGCTGGGCCACACAGCGAGTCTCCATCTCAAAAAAAAAAAAAGTTTCTGATGGAAAACGTTGTTAAGTATGCCATAACCACCCTTCCAGAAGGAAGATCTGGATAACACTAAGGGATGA